CAATTATTTATTTTAAGTTTATTTATGTATCTATTTTATCTTATTATTATCATCTTTAAGTGCATTTAGTTATTTATTTTATATTATTAATTTTTATTTATTTATTTTTGTTTTTTGTACCTACCACCTAATAGTTTAAAAGTAGTGTTATTTAGTTGATCAGGATCTGACAACCTGGATGTTTTGCGCCTCGATATCGAAACAAACATCAAATATCTATTACTACAACCCATTGATGGTCTACGGTTCAGTATTTAGTAAGGAATTCAGTATGATCGATAAAAGGGTCCAATATTATGTTATCGGATATTCAACTGATTTCACTGGTTGATTCTATTCATTGAAATCCGTCTATTCTATCTATTCATTCGCACAGGTCCATTAATATGTAATTATAGAAAATAAAATAGATCTTAAGATGGCTAGAACATGTATACATTCATTAAACATTTCATATTTCTTTGTTATTAGAGTCGACTATCATGTTAACAGAATCCCTTTTAAAAAAATACTATCAACTTCAATATTGCACAATCATATATAGAGATTTTTAACTTTTCAATTTCTTCAATATAAAATCCTCTATTATGTTATTCGAGACTCTTTTATGAAAATATTAATTATTTTTAAATTGCAAAATCATGTATCAATTTATTATAAATTTTCCAATTTCTTCAATAGTCCATTTTTATAATATAATAATAATAATGATAAAAGGCTTAGCGAACCCGAAGGTTCGAAACTGTCACCACCAATTGCTTATTACACACCTCCCTCCACCATTCGCCGTCCAAACCCAGTCTCTTCAGATCGGCTTTAATGTAATCTTCCCACCTTCGCTTCGGTCTACCCCTCGGACGTTTACCATTCGGTACAGCAAATATTAACCTATTAGGAATTCTCTTGTTACTAAGCCCAACAATTTTACAAGCCCATTTGATTCGCCGCCATGAAATTACCTCAATTATATTACCCGGATACAGTTCATGCAATTCGGCGTTGTGTAACCGTTTGAACTCTCCGGTAAACTCATCCTTCTTCGGTCCGAATATTCTATGCAATACTTTATTTTCAAAAACCTTAAGACGCTGCTCATCCCTTAATGCAAGCGGCCAAGTTTTGCATCCATAAAGAACTGTAGGTAAGATAATGGTTTTATAGATTCTAATTTTTAAGTTCCAGGATAAGAGGCGCTAGCTAAGTAGTTTTGCCACAGAAAAATAACAAGCATTTCCCACCTTCAGTCTAACCTTAATCTTAACGTTGTCGTATTTAGTATTTTTATAATATATAAATCATAAAATAAGTTGCTACTATTTTTTGAACCGGAGTTAGAAGTTCGTTAATAAACAATTAAGCTTAACATTACTAATAACAATAAATTAGATTTCATAGTTTAAGAAACAATATATTATAAACAAGTTAAAAAAGTGTTACTAAACTAACACAAATATAATAGATACACTTACTTGAGAAATTTGAGGTATCACAGTAGTTTGTAAAATATTTGGTAAACTGGTAAATGATTGCAAAGGAAAATGAACAGTCTGATAAACAGTCTGGCCATTTGAAGTTGATATAGGAACCTGAACAGGAATACTTTGCTGAACTTGCAAAACTTGAGTGTTTGGGCGTACTGAGACATTTTGGCCTATAAATAAATAATGAAAGTTAGAATACAAATAATAAACAAAATATATTTAAAACTAGTAATGGTACTTATCTAATAGCAGGTAGTGTACGACTGCTATCTGCCAATGTTTATAACTTTAACACTGATAAGCTCTTGGTATTCATATTTATTGTATTATATTCATATTATTATATATTTCTATTCATATTTATTGTATTGTATTGATATTATTGAAATTGTGAACAAAAGGTCACAAAAACACTTGTCTGTTTCTCGGCAAACTCCGCCAAACATCCATTGCTTGTCTAGAAAATATTTGATAGCATCTTCTGAAGACGGCAATTCCCACAATGTGACAAGATCCATAATTAAATAAACTCACACCTGGCACAAGAAACAAAAACTAAACAACAGAATAACTTAGGTTAGATGAGATAAGGGAGGTTATCTAAAATGAGATTAGATAAGAAGGGAGGTTTTGACGCTACCCGCTACTGGATAAGTACCCTAGTAATATACCAATCAAGATACACATAATGAATTTTGTTTTCACTTTTTAGTTAAACTAGATTGATCATCCAAGACCTTCTTCTACACCTCTAACTATCTAGATTTATTGCATGCAGCTCTGTTGTTGATTCATCTATATTAAGACATCTATCGTTGTGTAGAGGATTCCTGATGGAATGCTCGGAACTATATGCTCTAACCATCTAAACCCCCTTGCCTTCATATACTGAGATATTGAGCGACCAGTTTTGTAAGCATTTCTTGATTGATTTTTGTCCTCCATGTGTTAGTACTCTGATCCCAGATTGATCCGATTATCATGGGGAGGATTTTTCTCTATAATCTTTCAATACTATTTTCTAGGTCGCTGCTTTGAGTCCAGGTCTCACAGCCATATATTCTTCTTATATCAGACCTTCTTCTTCATGCATTAGTCCTCTGATCCCAGATCATCACGGTTATCATGGAGGATTTTCCTCTCAAATCTTTTAATACTTTTTTCCATGGTCCGACTCTCACAACCATATATGAGAACTGGTTTTACTAAAGCATTACAAAAGGAAGGAGATGGTCCGGGGTAACGGTCATAAATAGGCTAAATAGTGGCAAAAACTATTTTATTAAAAGCCAACGTTTCAACCCGACTTTGCAGGTTTACTTCAGAGAGGTGTGTTTAGCTAGGAGTTTCACTTAGAACACAATTCCGAGTTCTAAGTGAAACTCCTAGCTGAAACACCTCCCTGAAGAAGACCTGCAAAGTCGGGTCGAAACGTTGGCTTTTAATAAAATAGTTTTTGCCACTATTTAGCCTATTTATGAATGCCACCCCGGACCATCTTCTTCCTTTATAATGCAACGGTCAACTATTAAATATTCACTAAAGCATTATAAACCTTTAATTTGAAATTTATAAAGATTTTTCTGAAATCAAATACTTTTGAAAGAGAGAAGACAGCTGTTTACACTTATTATACATTAGCATATTTCTGACTATTGGTCATTCACTGAGATATTTGAATTTCTCAAAGCGGTAAGTGACATTGAAATCTGATACTTGCAACGCTCTAAAAAAAATGTCTTTGTTACCTCTTCAACTCAAAATTACTGTAGAGTAAGCGCAACAGTGATGGACATAGCTCAGGACATATTTGTTCTATACCGCCATAATTATTATAGTTATAAACTTCTGCAGTGGACATTTAAAATCTCTATGGTCTCCTTTTTCTATTTAACACTTTAAAATTGAAAAAAAGATTTCAGTTATGCAGATATAATATCCATTAAAAAAAAAACACCTCTTTGCACTAGCGATGGACACCCCGAAATTCAACTGTTCTTGTAATGGACAGGGGGTCTGTACCAGTAATAGAAAAACCTCAGAAAAATTATAAAATCTTTAATTAATTATAAAGATAACAATAAAGATAAAATAACATAGATGTTCAACTAACTGTAAAAACTGTTAGTAAGAAGGTATGAAACACACTGATCTCAGAAGCACTAGAGAAACAACAACGATAGGCATTTTAAAATTTCCTTTTGGGAACTTTCTTCAGACAATATTCAATAGAGGGCATTGTTCTCTAATCTAGAAAAAACTGGAATCTTTAAATCAACAAGAAAGCTTATTATTTACATTTAAAGTCCAACCTGCTCATTATTGGTGCGTTCACCCTGGTTGTTCTAAGTATGACAAGCGTTAAAAATTGCAATGTTTCTATACGTATATTATTTTTTTTCATGGAACCTTTAAGTTGGATATATATAGAGATTCGACTGTACAAGGAATATTCTAAAATCTCTTCAAAAGCACACCAGAGACAGCACTTTTACAAATAAATATGAAATTGATTGAGTTTGTCACAAATCAGACAGATAGTAAATTTTATTAAATAATCAATGGAAACTTTTTTTTTGTCCTGCCATTCCTGATAAGGATTATACAGGGTTTACCTGAAACAGGGGAGAGGGTGGAGGATTAGTGCCGGAGTAACAAGACCCCCTAACCCATGTGGCACCACAGACTAGCTAAGCGGGCTACCTTTACCCTAACATAATAAATTGGGAACAGGGTTCTGTATAGGCTAAGAAGGACTACCTGCCCTGTTTTACTGATGGTTCAAGGAAAGACTACTAGTTTAACGGTTGCAGGAGTCTATATAGAGAACCTAAATATAGAATTAAGCATACCACTAGGTAAACATGCTACGGTATTTCAAGCAAGGTGTTTGCTATACTTTCTGCAGTCACCTGTTTAGAAGTTACCAATTGCGAGAATGCTGGCATTACTATCTATTCGGATAGTCAGTCAGCACTACAAGCATTGCAGTCTCCCAAAGTGACCTCTACACTAGTGCAGGAGTGCAAACAGGCGTTGGAGAAACTGGCCTGTTCCAAGAGGGTGGAACTAGTGTGGGCCTCTGTGGTCACAAGGGAATTAAAGGCAACGAAAAAGCTGATTACCTAGCAAGGAAAGGAGCAGAATCTCCTATTATAGGCCCGGAACCTGCAATAGCAATATCCAAGAAGCATCAGCGGAAAGAAGTCCTTGATTGGACCTGAAAGATAATAGGTAAAGAATGGAGGGAATGCACTCAGCTTAGACAGGCGAAGCAATTTATCAAAAGCTCCTCTCCCTCCAAAACAAAGTGGCTGCTGGGCCTAACTAGGAAAGAAATCCGACTCATCATCGGAGTACTAACAGGCCGCTGCAGACTTAAAAGACATTTAAAGATCTGTCGGATAGTGGATGATGAGCTCTGTGATCGCTGCAGAAGTGCACCTGAAACTACCCTTCACTTCATAACGGAATGTGACCGATTTGAGCCACTCAGATACAGACTTCTGGGAGCAGACAGAATCCAAGTATGCAAAGCTGCCTCCATAAAATGGTCCAACCTTTTGAACTTCATTAGAAGAACAAAAAGGTTTGAGACAGAATAGAGGTACAATAGACAGCCACTGGTAGTATCAAACTTTGGGGTTGGCAAAAAGAACCAATATGCCCACTTGCCGGACAAAGTCCCCCCACCTATACCAGTACCAGTACCAGCTAAGCGGGCTAACACATGAGCAAAACATGCATTAGCCCGCTCAACTATTCTGCCCCCAAGGATCATCGAAAACTAAATAAAACTACAACAAAAATTGGAAAAATTATATAACAAAATTTACTTACCAGGAAATAATGTAGTAGGTGTCAAAGGTGCTCCAGTCGGTAAGACTCCAGCAGGCAGAACCCTAAGGGGTGAAACGAGTCCCGTACTTGAGGGGATAAACACAGCTTCCTGTCCATCAACAGTAATCGCTTGCATACCCCCTCCTTGTGATCCCTGAAGGACCGAGTAAGTAACTCCTCCACCTCCCCCTCCGGACTAGAATGAAAAAATAATAAAGTAATCAAAAGGTGAAAGAAAAAATGGATGGAAGCATGATACTTTTAAACCACAAAGATAAAGAACGTTAAAAGAAAATTAAGTAATTAATTTAAGTAATGACACTTTAGATAATGACAGTGCCTTACTGAGTTTAAAACTAAATATTAAGAATATAACAAATTAATAAATTTAAAAGTATAGCCTAACAGTAGTGGAGAATAAAATCCCTTAAAACTTAAAAATGGTACTTCAACTTATACGACAAAATGAATAATCCAATAAATTTTGCTTTTTTTTTTTTTAAATAACTTGTTTAGGCGCGTTTTGCACTTTTTTGCGGAGAGTGAATTAGGCTAACCAATGAGGCTATAAATCAAAATTGTATCTTAACATGACACTTTGCTAGGGAGGCAAAAAGGAAAAAATATTTTCGAAAACCAAATAATGAGTTTAGTTGAACATATGGATAAAAATACTTCAGATATTAAAAAGCGGACCTGTATACTGTAAGCGAGGCAAATGTTCAGCATTTCATCTTCTTTGTAATGAGCTATTATTCAAAACTGTATCTTAACGCAACGCTGTGTGTTAGAGAGGGGGAAAAGAAAAAATAGTGTTGAAAACCAAATTATACGAGTTTTATGGAATCATCTCAGAAACTAAAATTCGGACTGGCATACTGTAAGCGAGTGAAATGTTCAGCATCCTTTTTATAATGAGCTACTATTTATATTTTATATTTCATATTTTATTAATCTTGTCTTGTTGATGTTTTCATTTCTATCGTGTGATCTAAGCACAAACCTTTTTTTTTTTCTGATAAATTTCTTCCTACACCGTAAGTGAAATTAAGCCAAAGCAATTAGAAGGTCCATATTTTTAAATGCTTAAATATATTTAAGTGCACTTTTAAAAATAATTTACAAGATAATATTACATGAAAATACCAGTTTTCACTACTGGCGAATAATCCAGTCCTATTCACTAAATCTCTGACTGATAAATACTCTGTGAAATCTATAAAATAATGTAGTAATCAGATAAAAAATAATCTGTATATATTCACCTGAATGTACTGTCCAGGAACTCCTTGGACCGAAACTGTAGGAGAAGCTGCCGCTTGAACATATTTCTGTTCATTTCCATTGACTTGTTGTAAAGTTAAAAGGTTTTGGAATTGCTGAAGTGTGATTACCTAGAAAAATGTTTAAACAATAAGAAAATTATAGGTAAATAACCCTTAAAAAACACCTCTTAATAATATGTCATTTGCTGAACTAATTACAAACTAGTAACTCATCGCTAGTACTAACTAGACAGTTTAAGAACATTAAGTTTAGTAAAGTGAATTGAGATGACTTTGGATTGAACAGTGAAATATAGAGTACTTTGTCACAGATATGAGATTTTTCTGTTGAAAAGTTACTACGTATAGTGTGATTTGAAATAAACTTTAATGGATTAATAATTTTGGATTGTATTTGTTTATATTTAGGTTATGTGTGCTTGTTTGCTGAACACTAAATTTCTGCTCCTGTACGTCAAAATTGATCTCAGTATATTATTTATAGTCAGTAAATAATGTTTGATCAGTCGCTTGTTTCATAAATTGAATCTTTAGTCCAGAAGATTATATAATTCATAAAAATAAAAAAAAAAACCTGTACCACTAAAACCCATGAAGGGTCTTGGGTTCAGCACTATTTAGGGAAAGTACTGTTTCTTGGTCAACGGTTGTGTAAGGAGGTGATAGGATTTAGATCAAACTCAACCGCCAGGTATTCCCCTTAAATATAATATTTAATTAAGGGTAACCACTACATAGACGCTGGGTTTGCCCTAGAAGGGTTTCCCGACTCCATGACCGAAGAAACAGAATAAATAATTTATCTGCCATAAGCCAGAATTCCAATCTGGGACCTCGAGCATTGGAAGCTCAGTGCCCTTCCACTCCCTAAATATGCAATAAATGATTGCCAAATGTGCATTAAAAAAAAAAATCCCTAAATATACATCTAAAATATTTAATCACATTAATGTGCTAATGAAACGTTTTAAACTAAAAAAAAAAAAAAAGGAGAGAATTATATCATTTATGAATTGATTGAAGACAGTTCCTGTCTTTTTAATTTTGTATGCATGTCCCTACGTGGGTATTTTGTCTCAGTAGAGTCTGAGTAGAGTCATACAAAGTTTTTTGTAGGAATTAGGTTGTTGTCGTTGGTTATAGATGAACATAAAGCTTTCCTTAGAGAGATGCAGTTTTTGATTTTAATTATCGAATTATAGAATCATTTTCCAATATTAAACAAATGGTTACAAATGGCAATAGTCGAATTTAGCATTTTGTGCAATATTAGATACTTAAATTGAATTTTAATGTGATGAAAATAAGAAATCATATCATCAAATAAATACATTTATTATACATCAATATTCTTTGAACAAAATTCTTGTGCTCACATATGATTATGATCTCCATCATATCCACAGGTAATCAAAACCAAGCTACTCACTTACAGGCTTAAAAAAACAAGTAGTTTGTACTGAAAATAGTTTTTGTTTATTCAACAAATTGAGTATTTAGGGACTGGGAAAACTCGAGTAATTGTGCCTAGTTAAGTATTTGTTAAGTTTCATAATTCACAATATAGACTAGTATCAACAAGTAATAGTGTTTACCGTACAACTAGTGTACTAAAAGTAGTTATTTTTTATTTATTATTGTTCTTATTAGATATTGAATGGATGGCAGTTTGGATAGCGAGGAAAAAGATGGTTTGGAATGGCTGAGTTAATTGTTAAGTTTTTCAATGTTTATATCTCATTAATCTAAGCTTATAAATTCTTACATTATTCTACAGTTTGTATTTTGTTCATTTTAGCCCTGATGAAGACAGATATTTTTGTTGTTGTTCGACTCGTTGGGTCAAAACATAGGCTTAATAAATAATATCCACTGTTTGAAGTTATTTTATGACTGCCATACAGGACTATATTGTTTTCTCGCTAAGTTTATTCATCCACAATATAATAAATACTTAAAAATAGCAATATCAACAACTAACACTTTGTATTGTACTATCATTAGATGTTCTTTATTCAACAAAATTGTAATTATTTGGGGACCAGGAAGACTAAGCAAAATATTTGTTCACTCACAAAATAATAAGTACATAAAACAGAGATACTCTTCTATTATACAGATACTCATGATATGGTTCTTAATATCAGTGATTCCATGAATAATAAATTTAATAATCACTTTACTGGAATTGTAATGTAATACTTTCATTTCTCAGATACGTAAAATAGTTATTGCCAGGGTATTCTATTATACTAACCTTGTGTTATTACAAGTTCAATATGCACTATATAAGCCTTTCAGTTGACACAATGACTAATTCCAATTTCAAAATTTTTTATTATTAATTTTAGTGAAATTTCTAGTGGGAAAATCTATACCTTTGTTCACAGTTCTATATTTCGACACTGTAATCACCTACTTTGGAATTAGCTTACTCACTGTCTTTACAGATATTATAAATTTTCCAACTAGAAATATGACTAAAATTACTTAATTCAAAGATACTGATAATGGAGAAAATCATTCTGTCAACTGAAAGGCTCATATAAAGCCATTTTATAGAACGATTTATGATAAAGAAACTGCAGTTCATTTTTTTTTTCTTAAAAAAAAATTTATTATTCTGGAGGAGATGGTATTTAATAATTATACTTCACAGATAATGCAAGATGTAGAAGAGTAACATTATAAGCTGTAAGCCAAAGAAGAGTGAAAGGTATAGAACTTATCTTTCGGATTTGAAACTTTGTTTAGAAATACTGTTAATGTGGATCAGGAAAATAGGATAATACAAAAACAAGAGGAATGATAAGACATTTTCTTTCTTTGTATCATGTAGAGAATATAATTGAAAAATAGGTTACTTATGAGGCGATGGTAATTGAATTAAGGTAAACCTACTGGTTATAATAAACAGTTCAATAGAAATTTTCTAAATTAATATTAACCAGAGCTTTAGTTAAAATCGTGGATCTTTGGAATGGATTTTTCAATAAATTTAGTCTTTTATTAATTTTTTCTTTTGCATTCAATCAATTAGTAAATTGTTGGTGAAAAACATAAGAGATTCTGACAGCTTATATTGCATCAGTGATAGACACATTTTTCAGAAATCTGGTATCATTATCTTTCTCATAGTTTTAAACTAAGAAACAGTAAATGAATCAATGTTACACCAAATCGTATACATGATTTATAAAAGATATGTATAAATAAATAAAAGTCAAATGGAAAACTTTCTGAAACTAAAGTTTAACTGTCAAGCAGCTCTTGGGGCATATTACTTTAGGTTCAGGCATGAGCCTTCCAAGTTGCGATTTGCAAGCAACACGCTCGCTTATATTTACACTCTATATAGGGCTTATAAAACATATATTAATGCTAATTACAGCTGAATTTAACTTATATATATTTGATCATATGTAAGTTTTTGATGGTAAATAAACATATGTTGTAAGTTATTCAATTATTTTTATTGAATAGCTGATATTTGGAATCGTGTTAAGAGAAGTCCTCATAATAGATGAGTATCGAAATAGACTTGTAGAAGTAATTGTTTTTATTTATTTTTGCAGTTGGGTTGTTTTTGATAAGGGAAGTAAAATACACTTATCATAGGGTGACAGGTTATGTTTTGTTGAACATATGTAAGCCATTATGCAAGATTGTATGATGTGCCAGAAATGTGGGATACATATTGTTGATAATTCTGTCACTTACTTGTGGTTGCTGCGATTGCGGACTGAGGGACAACGGGTCCCTCTCAGCTTGGGTAGCCACGTTGCCCTCACTGGAATCACTTTCCTCAGAAATTCTTTGCTCTTCCCCTATTTTGCTGCACGTAGCCGCAAGCAACGCCAACGGGGAGGGCAGTCCTTTCCGCTCCTGGAAAAAGAGGCGTAACCCGTCACCAATAGACCCCTCCCAAATATGGATTTCACTTCAATTCGCGCACACACACACACAGACACAAGCTCCTCCCTCTAACCTCAACTTACCTCTTGTTCTTCACAAATTTCTTCCTTGAGTTGCTTTGAGGTCATTTCATCTTATAAATATAATAAAGATTGAGAGAGTTAACTACCTCTATTAAGGCTGGGCTCTAGCAGTAGTCTCAAATAAGGGTATCCCTACGCTCGATCGATATTATATTTTCAATACTTTGGTTTTCTGGGTGACTTCAATTAAGGTGATGTGATACAATAGTTATAATGAAAAATGTAAACTGAATTTAAATGAAGGAGGAGGCGTTAAGTAGAGACGAGTAGAGACGCACGACAGGGAGGGACTATTTTGGGCGTAGCTTGTAGTGACTAACGCCCACCAGAAGGCTATTGGCAGTTGAACTACAATAGCCAGAGAGCCGAGAGCCGAGGCCGTGGGGGGGGGGTCGGGTAACCCACCTCTTTTAGGCGTGCCAGGACCACCCACCTCCTGGGCGGGGTCTGTCGCTCTAACACTTAACTAGCATTTTTTTTAATCATTAGCCTCCCCTTAGATCGGTCTTGAGAATGGAGTCTTCATGTCCTTTACGATAGGAAATTTTCAATTCTAACCTATACCTTTCTCACAATTTTTTTTTTTTTTCTATTTGGCCTTTAATATTATTTGATTTTTCTGGAAAAGAACAATAAGATTTATTTTTTGGCTTATAGTAAAACTAATTTGAAATCAAATTAAATTAAAATACTACATCCCTCTGAAAAAAAAGAAAAACTCATTTACATAAGTCTACAAGATGGGAAGTTTATTTGAAAAGAGATAGCTAATTTAAGAATGGAGGATTTTTTCTTTCATGATGTTGAAACAGGTGTGCCCATCCTCCCCGAAATCGAAGGCTCAAGAACCTACCCCCCCTCCTCTCCCAAGATATTTTATTGCTCACTTTTCTAAAAACAGATCAAAGGAAAGCAGTATTAGAAAAATCGTAGATCATGTACCAAAAAAAGGATAAAGTAAAAATATAATAAAACAATTTTTAATAAATATAATTTTATATCAGAATCTTTATTTGTTGGGCGCCTGGCTTTACTAGCCTTTCATCTCTAAAGAGATAATTATAGAGAATAAAGTTACTTACCCATGATTAATCATTTATTCTACCATGCTAGCTCGGGTGAGAAGGGGTTAGGTTGGATATTTTTATAAAGCAGCAAAAAGGTTAACAGATTTGTTTACAGAAAGAAATATTTACAGAATTAATACTATGTACAATAAAAAAAAATAAAATACAAGGAAAAAGAGGGAATTCAAACATAATTACTATATACAATTAATGATAAAAAGGAAGATATTTAAGATAATAAAGATAATACAAATAACAAAAAAAAGATACTTATTCTATATACAATATTATGGCATGCCACATCTAAACATCTAGAAAAGACAGTCAAGATACAAGTGATCTAAGATGTAAGAGCACATGCACATGCTAAAATATCAATTAGTAATCTGGTACAGGAAAAGAAAGAGTTTTTTGTTTCCAGTGCTTTCTTAATCTTGGTTACAATGTTCCTTTGTACCTTGTTCTGAAACTTTTATTCCGAAAATTCGTAACCACGTTGAAATTGCCCCCCCCTCAAAAATATTGATGGCGTAATTTGCACAATAAAATCCCCTTATGGGTACCCCTTTGTTAAAATACCAACCTGTCACTTCTTAGGGATCCAGGATTTAATTTTGGGGGGAGGGCTTAAGCCCGAAAGCTTTTTTTTTTCATATATATAACGATAATTACTTTGGGAAAAAAAGAAAGAAACTAACTACCTATAAAATGGTGTTTAAATCACTCCATTATTGAAGTCCTATTAAATGTAATCAAACGAACAATAATACTTTAAGAGATAATGTTTTAAGCTAATTTGAGAATGGAGAATTTTTTCTGTCGTAATCGCTTTCTTTCAGAATGTTGAAACAGGAGTGCTCATCCCCCCCGAGGTCGATGGCGTAAGAAACCCCCTCCTCTCCCAAGATATTTTATTACTCACCTTTTCTAAAAGCAGATAAAAAAAAAAGTAAAATTCGAAAAATCCATGTTTTCCACTTGTCACTTATTCTGAAACTATTCATTTCGAAAATTCGTAACCCCATTGAAATATGCTCCCTCCCCCCCAAAAAAAAAAAGTTTGGTGGCGTAACATGCGCCATAAAACCTCCTTCTGGGTACCCTAGTGTTGAAATACCAACCTGTCACTAATAGAATTTATTTAGAACTTCTATTTATTGAATAATAATATAATCAGCCACTTTCGGAGGGCTATAAGTATTAAGGCTATAAGTTCTCATTCATACAATATATACAGATAATAGAGATTTTTTTTTTTATTTCTTTATGACATTTACAACTGTATTACATAAATACATCCAGTAAATTTGGACATAATTGATATAATGACATGAATACACTTGCTGAGTAACTACCCAATGGTAGCACTCTAATGATATGACTACATAAGGAGATCACGGGGCCATCTTCTTTTCAGACACCTCGGAGGGTTATCAGGAATTGAAGAGGAAGCAAGGTTAGAAACGAGAGGGTTGGGATGATTCTGAAGTTTATTATGGAAGGATAGGTATCTGGATTGGGTCAGATCTGAAACATAAGGAACATTAAGATCTTTATGGATAATTTTATTAGTGACAAAGTAAGGAGCATTGAGGATTTTACGAAGGATTTTAGATTGTAAGGATTGGATGCGAGAGGAATTCGATGGTTTAGTGGAGCCCCCTAGCTCAACTCCGTAAGTCCAAATAGGTCTTATTATATTCAAGTATATAAGTCTTTTGTAATTAATGGGAAGTTGAGCGCGTTTGTCTAGTAAGTGCTGAAGTAACCGGAAACGTCGAGCGGTTTCTTGTCGTTTCAGTCTGGTATGAGGATTCCAAGTTAGTCGTTTGTCCATGTGGAGTCCTAAGTATCGGATTTGCTCGGATAAGTGGAGTATTGTTAAAGGATACTGTAGAACAAGAAATCATAGGTTTACGACGGCTGAAACTTTTAATTCCGAAAATTCGTAACCACGTTGAAATTGCCTCACTCAAAAATTTTGATGGCGTAACTTGCACCATAATATCCCCTTATGGGTATCCTTGTGTTGAAATACCAACCTGTCACTTCTAGCGGATCCAGGATTTAATCTTGGTGGGAGGGTTTAAGCTCGAAAGGTTTTTTTTTCCTATATATATCACGATAATTACTTTGGGAAAAAAAAAGAAACTAACTACCCATAAAATGATTCTTGAAGTCCTATTAAATGTAACTAAATGAACAATAATTTTATAAGAGATGATTTAAAAAATATATATATCTATAAAACATGGTTACATTTCAACACTTTGGTGAGGGCTTCAGCCCGAAAGTCTCTCTTCCCTCCCTTCGAATTTAATTTTTGTGTCATTTATTTTTAAAAGTAAGTCATTTATTACTAGTTTAAGAAACGGTAATTACTTTTAAAAAAATAATATTTAAGCAGTTCTTTGGAAAAAAAAAACCCTCCCTTATACTGTTTTCAATTTTTCATTATTGTTTACATTTATACATTTATTTCAAGATACCCTATGGCAGTGCAGGGGTGCCCAGAAGGGAATTTCATGGAACAAATTGCGCTACTAAATTTTTGAGGGGGGCACATTTTGACGGGTTTTTGAATTTTTGAGAGGAGACTTTTCGGCGAGGTTGAATTTTCGGTACGAAAATTTTTAACCATGAGACAAGAGTAAAAACATGGACGAGACCATAAAAAGTGTAATTATATATGATCTGCATTTTTTGTAATGCTTCTCTTACTTGCATTGTTTTTAAAAACAGGAGAGTAATAAAATTTCGTGGAAAGGGGAGGGGAGAGATTTGTGCGCCATCGACCTTGGGGAGATGGGCACGCAAGGTCAAATCTAGCGGAATATATATGTATATTATATTTACATATGTAAATAGGTAAAATGAAATTATGGAGGATAAGAAAAGAAAAAAAATTACTTTTATTTCAATTTAATTTTTACTTTGGGAGAAGGGCCAGCTGCCCCATAAATGAAGGCCTAAAATTAAATTTTAATTGTAACTTTTTGTGTAAAATTTAATCAAATAAGGACTTTGTTCCTGTTGCTACAATATATCTTTATACCTAGATATCTAGCATTAGCACCCTCAAAAAACAATAATAACAATAAACCCTGGATCCATTTCTGTTTATATAATGTGAAAAAAATAAATTCAATAACCATATATTCACTTACGTATATATCAAATGTACAGAAGTGTAAGTATTGCGATCGTGAAAATTTTCGAATCTCAGTTTTCAACGGAAATACATGTCTTGAAGTCCCCTGAGTGCAAATAACCAACTGTCGCAAAATGGTCTCTGTGTGTATGTGTTAGCAGTACGAAATTGATATTAAGTATTTAAGGTTTGTATATGGGCCGGATGTGACAGCAACTTTTTCGTTAAAATCGGCTAACCGGAAGTGCCACTTTATATGAACGCTGAAACACATTTTTACAATTTTCTGAAAAACAGCTCTAACGATTTTGATTAAACTCAGTGTATCATTGTATAATTAAGTGGTCTTTAATATCCCCGTTGATGTCATTTTACAGGGCTTAAATGCCGAATGTTCATATGCGTCTTCCTCTAAAGTACCTTTAATATGGTTTATTTGAAATAATCAATTATCTCTCATTATTAAAAGTTATGAAAAAATGCTAAATATAACTTTTGAAAGAATTTGATAATTGAATAAAGGAGAAAAAAAAATAAAAATGATATCCAGATCGAAAATGAATCTCTAAAAATACTAGTCCGAAGATATACGTATAATATATCGTTGGAAAGCGGAGAATTTTAGAAAAAATAATATCGAAGATAGAAAGTTGTAAAAGGAAACGAAGATTGGCAAAAAAATTATAAATAATATTTTTTGAAAACTAATAATATTTAACGTAAATCACATGTTTTCAAGGAAATTAAATGAAATTTACTAACTAAATGCAACCTTTTAAAATATTTTTAAGTTTGAAAAAAATATTTTAAATCCACCTACCTAGGAC